GGCCGGGGAGCCGGCGGCCGGCGGCCGCGGCAAGAAGATCTTCGGCTGCTCCGAGTGCGAGAAGCTGTTCCGCTCGCCGCGCGACCTGGAGCGCCACGTGCTGGTGCACACCGGCGAGAAGCCCTTCCCGTGCCTCGAGTGCGGCAAGTTCTTCCGGCACGAGTGCTACCTCAAGCGCCACCGGCTGCTGCACGGCCCCGAGCGGCCCTTCCCCTGCCACGTGTGCGGCAAGGGCTTCATCACGCTCAGCAACCTCTCGCGCCACCTCAAGCTGCACCGCGGCATGGACTAGCGCCCACGCAGGTCTGAGGGGCGCCGCCCGCGACGACCGGGCCTCTCAGGGCCGCGTGGGGGCCGACCACTCCGGCGGCAGCGCCCAGGGAGACGCCCCTCTCCCCAGAGCCATCATTCCACCACTCAGACCTCTCCGTCTGGAGAATGGGGGGACCACGTCTCCGAGTTTCCCTGGGTCCCCTCCAACTGCTACCCACTAGAGTCACTGGTACCCCAGAAAACGGATATAGCCTGGGTCTGCCCCCCACCGCGCTCCCTGTGCGGGAGGGGGGCCGGTAGACGCCCCACCCTCGACCCCCTTAGGTCTCCCCGCTGCGGAGCTGGTCAGCCCTAAGGACCCCAAGCCCAGCGCTAGGCTAGGCGGGCCCCAGCCCCCCAGCAGGACAGGCTGACCCCGGCGCACGTGCCCGTCCGCCTGTCGAGGGTGCCGCTGATCCCCCAGCGTGCCCGGCCCAGCCACCCTCTGCCAGCCCAGCTGGGCGGCGGGGGCTCCAGGCGGCGGCCGCTCCCCACCTCTGTGGTCTGTCTCTGTCCCTCCCAGCCCAGGGAAAGGGGGGCCCGGCCAGAGGGGTCCCTGAGAGCCTTGACCACGCCCCACTCCCCAATGTCCCTAGGACCCCAATAAACCTCGTCCTGTCCGTCGCTGCCGCCTCTTTCTGCTCCCCGGCTGGGGGAGGGGTGTCCCACCCCAACTTAGGACAGACACCGTAAATAAGGCCCCCCCCGAAGGGCTCCGAGCCCTTGGGACACGCTGAACCCCGCAAGTCAGAGGCTGTCACGGGAGCCCCCTCGGACCCCCGCGGATGGGTGTGGCGTGCCCCATCCTCAGCCCGCGGGTGGCCCCAGAAGCCCCAAAGAGGCTTCCCCGGGGCGCTTCCCCGGTCACCAGAGGAGCCCTAGAGATGACGGTCAACCTAGAGACACGGCCCCCCCCCCCGCGCCTGCACCCCCGGAGCCCAGGGGCTGGCGGTCCGGCCGGGGGCTCCGGGTCACGGCTGCGCGCGGGGCAGGCCCCGAGCAGTGTACGATTCCCCCCGAGTGACCATTAAAGTGACCCTTCCTGCAGCAGCTGCCCTCTCCTCTGCGCCCTCCTGGCCCCCCCCCCCGCGCCTGCACCCCCCCTCCCCCGCCTGGGCTGCGCGGGCGCCCTCATGCTGCTTTGTGGCGGGGCGCGGGCCGCCTTCACAGCGCCCGCTGGCCGCGGCACGTCCGCAGAGCAGTGGCGCAGCGGGCACATGGGGACCAGAACTCGGCCTTGGAGGGAGACTTTTATTCCTGGGAGTTCACAGCTGCCCTTGCAGAGGTCCCGGGACAGGCGCTGCCCCACCGCCGCGCCCCCGCCCCCCACCCTCAGGATTCCCCCGGTAGGCCTGGAGGCCCTCTGCAGGCGGCCGCCTGGGCTCCGGCTGGGGGCGGGCGCGCAGGGCCCCACGAGCGGCCTAAGCTCGTTTGCGGCCAGCGCAGGCTGCCAAGGGGCCTGTTCAGCCAGAGTGGACGGGCAGGCTGCCCCACCGATCTGAGGAGATGCGGGGGGTGGGGGGCTCTCCAGACAGGGCGGGCACTGCAAGGCCCGGGCCGTGGCGGCGGACCGTGAAGGGCCAGGTCCAGACCTGCGGGTCTGCGAGGCCGGGAGGGAGCCGCGGGGGGCCTGGCCCGGAGTGACGTCAGGGGCTGCCCCGGCAGGGGGAAGCAGGAGGCCAGAGGCGCCGCCCCCAGCCAGCACGCCAGGCCCGCCCCCGCCGCCAGCCCCTCCCACTCCTGCTCCACCCCACCTGCCCGGCTCCGCCTCCGCCGGCGGCCCGCAGGTCTCCCCAGCTTCCTGCGGGGCCTCCCTGCGGGCCGCAGGAACTCCCCTAAACCACTGGTGGGACCACGTGACTCCGGCCGTCAACCCTTTCAGGAGCTTCTCGGTGCACTGGGAATATGCCCAGCAGTCCGCCTGGACTGGACACAAACCACCCGCAGGTCCCGCCCCTCCGCCGACCCCACCGGCTCGGGACGCCCTGCAGGGCGGCGTCCCCCACACCAGGATGCGCGCCTGGCACCCACCACGCAGCCGTTGCCGCCTGGCCACGCCGCTCCAGCCACCCCCTTCCCGAGTTCTTCCTCCGCTCACTAACGCCCTAGTCACGCCCATCCCAAAGCCAGGAGGCAGAACTGCCCCAGATGTCCGTGAGCAAAACAGAATGCTGCCCACGGGCGGAACACGACTCGGCGTGAAAAGGGGCGAGGTTGTTGCTACACGGGGCAGGCTGGACTCAAACTGAGGCTCCCGCCGCCGATTCGCAGCGGGCCCCTGGCCTGGAGATGCTGTGGCCAGACGGAGAGTGGACAGGGGCCGGCAGGTGACCGCTCAATGGCCCTGGGCTGCCCGGTGGCGGAACGCTCCGGAGCTTCGTTAGGGGTCGGCTGCTCAGCGACAACGGTAAACCCTGTGCGTGTATTTCACCAAGTAACAACGCGGTGCAGGGCCGCGGGAGCAGGCGCACACTCACACTACACACGCGGGTGCTACACACCGGGTGCTGAGCACCCGCGGGGACAGGCGTGCAGCACGCGCACCCCGACACCAGCTTCAGCACACAGGCGCCGGCGCGGCTCCTGCAGGCCCCTCCCCCAGCGGCTGCTCCCCGGGCCGCTCCCCGATGACCCCACACAGCTCCGGGCATCCGCTCTGTGCTGCCCCAGTGTCTCACACGCGAGCCGCCCCCACTTCTCTGAAGCACAGCCCCCCAGTGCACCCTGAAGCGGCCACCCCACCCCTTGCCTCCCTGGGATGGGCAGGGCCCCGTGGGTCTGCAGGACCGACTTTCAGGGTAGGTCTTCCCGCCCACCCCGGCTTCTGGGCCTGCGCTTCTGGGAGTCGGGTGGTGTCCACTTCTCAAACACACCAGAGGGCAGGTGTGGGACGCGGGCCTGCAGCTGGACAGCACCGCCTTGGCTCCCCGCCGCCTGGCCGCGCCCTTGGGGCTTCTCCATATCCGGACAGAGGCGCTGGCCCCGCCGCACGAGGCTCACCCGGGGGGCGTGAGCGGACCCGCGGGAGCCGGTCCCGAGCTGACCCGCCGAGGCGGCTCCCCACGCACTCGCAGGCCTGTCTGCAAGGCCCTGCCTG